ATCATACAGTTCAATAGTTCAATCATCATAAGAAGAGCTCTACAATCATTATCACAGTCGCTTTTAGAGCCTTGGCTTCCTTCTGGTACTCATTGCTATTCGTTCTTCTCCACTTTCCCCCAACCTCCCCTGCATACCTTCAAGAAATCATTCACCCAGTTACTGTCTCTATTAAATTACCTATCCTGCATTTAATATACAGAAAAACACCTTTAAACTAACTATAATAACAGTAAAACAGAAAAACCTCCATTGGAGTGAAAGCAAAAAATATTAAAAACTAGAACAAATTTAAAATAGACAAAAAAGAGAGAGAGCAAACAATAAGGTTCTAGATTTTTACCTAACTGCTTCTGCAACAATTCCCTTTCCACTGCGCTCTGCACGACAGCAAAGCTGTTCAGAGCTCTGCTGTGGTCACAGAGGATTCACCAGCGGCATAATCCACATGTATTTCTCCTCCATTTTTTTTAACATAAACAACTTTAGAATGGGTCGAGGAGATTCAATTATTTTAACCTAACTACTGCCATAATCGGCTTTACAATGCTTTCTGCCTGACAACACGGCTATTCACATCCCTCAACTATGGTCAATGAGGATTCACCAGGGGCTTCATCCATGTGTGGACCCTGCAGGTGGATTTTGGGCTTCCACTGTCATCCAGCGCCTTCTGCAAACCAGGTGTTCACAATTTAAGCTCTGGTACCATTCCCTCCTTTAGATTTGGATTTACACTCCTTGGAGCACACAGGCTGGCGTGCTTCTTCCATGTGGACTCAGTTGACTCACGTAGACGAGGTTACAGGAGAAAAGGGGGTTGTCTGGGCCATGTAGGCATGGCTGCCTTCTGGTTGCTAGCCACTAATGTGTCAGGTCAATGTCTGAAAGGTCAATGTCTCAATTGAACATTGCTTGCAAAGTTTAAGATGTCCATCCCATGCCAGTCTAGTTGATAATTCACCTGCTCCATCGGTCTCCCCTATCACTACTTTCGTTTAGATTCTTCTTCTAATTGGTATTTAATCTGTTTCTTTACTCTTTCCTCTAAAGCTCACGGCTCCAGGATCAGCATCCATAGCGGTTTCACTCGGTCTCTCGTGTCATTATGGTGAGGGAATGCTAGCCTGTCTGCCTAGTCTGCCCTTTTCCTGGAAGCCTTGAAGTGCAGCCCACCCGATCCAGTCCTCCACTTTCCAGCAAAGATGCCGGAGGCCCGGCAGGAAACTCATCCTTCTTCCCGCTCGTGAGATGAATGCTGGCCCAAGATCTGATCTAGATCCCAAGGGGTAATCTTGACAGATTTTCTCAAAGGAGGCTTATGATGAAGGCATTGCGAGAAAATGAAAAACTGCCCGGGTAAGAAAACGAACAGGAGAGTTGCACGGAGGACCACACCC